TCAAAACACTAGACGCTGTTCCAAGTCCTCCATATAGAGCATGTTACCATAGTCCCTCGAGACTAAAGGATGCTTATGATTACTCCTAGTCTGAATGAAAGGGTGTTGGGGGAAGGGTATTGGAGGTGGAATGAGAAGACAAACTCTTCATGTGTTGACTCCGCTTTGCAGCTGAGACTCTGGCTTTAGAAAGCGAAGCTGCTCAGTGTGGGTTCAGGTCCCTGGAAGCCTTTGTCTTTCGTATCAGAATTCACAAGAAACATGAGCAGAAAAATGTATGCTCTTCCCTCCACTGAGCATCAAGCTCGAATTTCTTGCTTCCCAGTGCCTTCCCTATGCAGTGGGGAGCACCTGAAGATGCAGCTGCCAGCATGTGTCTGCTTTCTTGTTGCCTTTCCTTTGGCTGTTTAGCAAAATTATCTTCCTTAAGGATGGGCCTTGAGCCCTTGTCCCTAAGCTACAGAGGGTTTGTTGCTGTACAAGCTTTTTCTTTTCTTATACAGGTAAGATGGGATTCAAAATGGTGCTTGTGATCAGTATTATGATATCAGCACCCCTACCTGGAGGAATGCCTGGGGACTGGCAGTGATGGGCCTTTAGTAGTATTCCAGTGGGCTAGACAGAGGAGGATCCTGTGGCATTGTGGTGCATATTGTGTTGAAAGGGCATATAGTGAAGCACATCCTTGTCCCTATGATTTGACTCTGTGTGTAGACAGCAGTTGGGCATTATTCCTAACTTCTTGCTGGCACAATCCATTCTTCCCTCTGTTTTGGTAACATCAGCTTTAAAAGGGGAGGGGGCTTCTAGGAATTTGGTTATTCCTTTTACTTAGCAGAGTATTAGATAGAAGACAACACAGAAATGTGGAGAGATCAGCCCCATCTCATCTACACCATCCCTGGTTTTGCACCCAGACCTGCATTTTGTATGATAAAAGCACTCTAGAAGCATTTAAAGTAGAAAAGGGCATCTTTACCTACAGTTACCATCTGTAGTTACTGTACATATAAAAGGAAAAAAAGGGTGAAATGAAGTCTTCAGCCTGCAGCGGTCCATGTGTGCTTTCTGCTTAGAGGATGGTCAGGGGAAGGAGAAGGATTATCAATATAACAGTGGGATCAAAAACATAAATGAAGAGTGTGGAAGCTTCCCTCAAATGCCAGAGGCAAGAAAAGAACTTTACCTATCAAGTTAGTGGTAAAGGACAATCATATTAGGCTGTAAAACTCCCTCCCACTGATACCCAGTATTAGAGCATGCAAGATTGCTATTATCCCAACTATATCTGAAGGGCCACATATAACTCCACCTCCATCTAACTGATTATAGCATTATATTTCACATTCAAGGTCTTGTAGGATATACCTAAAACTGCTTTGAAAATAGAATTTTTCCAGTCTCTTACCTCAGTGAGATAGCCAGTGGCATTTACAAACTTCTCAAATTCTGCATTGCTGACTTCATAACGATCCATGAAGAAAGGATCAATGTGGACTCTTCTGGAAGGCCATTCTCCATCTTGTGGTATAGCTGGCTCATCTGTTCCCATTGTAAACACTCCACCAGGAATGAAAGCCATCTACAAATTGAAGGACAACATTTGAGGCATGTCTATCAGGCACTACAGGCACTGTTCTCTCATACTGAATGTCACTTGTAATGGCAAAGGCTTTCAAGACCAGTTTACCACCAATCAACATTATACTGTACTGTAGCCATCTCATGCGAACAAGTCCCTGTTTTCAACACTGAGACAAAGCTGGAAAATGTTGAAGGCAGGAAAAGGGAAGACCAGTTATATGATAGATTGACTCAATAAAGAAAGCTACAGCCTTAAGTTCGCAACAGCTAAGCAGGGTTGTTAACAAGACGGCATTTTGAGGTCACTGATTCATAGAACTCCAGACAACTTGAGGGCATATTAACATTAACAACCAGGAGTTTGAAAATAAGCAAACAGAAGCTGGGTGAATACATGTTAGATGAGAAAAGTTTAAGAAAAACAGGGAATGGGACATTAAAAAGTAGCATAGCATAAAACACTGAAATGGTGCTGAAGAAACAACAGAGCTTCCTTCTGTGATTTACTCATTGTGACCTTTACACCTGGTACTCTGGTTTGTTTCTTCCTGGATAAGCCAGAATCATAAACCACTGTTTGCTCATGATTTGTAACTCATGTTTTAAGAGACAAGCCAGAGCTTGATTCTACAAACAAACCCCTGATGGAAAACAGTGACTAAACTCCAGCCTTAGCATGATACCTCGGGTACCCATCTTGTTCTATTAAGCCAATTAAATAAAGAAAACAGAATATTCACTTGTGCCACCTTTCCACGATGCCTCTGTTCCCATGCAACTCAGATGTTCCAGAGTACTTTTAAGTAACATTAAAACAGTCGAGCTGGCTTTCACGTTACATGTAACTTGTAACCTGTTGTTAGTTATCAACAAGTTGAAGAGGCAGCCATGTCACTAACACATTTGTTAATAATAAATATACATACAATAAACATTACACAGCGATACCGCACACAGAGAGATACATTACACAGCTAAATCTAAATTGTTAGACCCACTTACTTATCAGGATTTACAGAGGTGCTGCTACATATAAACAATGGATGCAGGAGAATGGACTAAGGCCGAATACAAGCAAGACGGAAGTCCTAAAGGTGGGTGACCCTGTAATCAGTGGTTTGGGACACTCCCTCTCTTTTGGAGAAGTGACTCTCACCACGAAGAGTGAGGTTCGCAGCTTGGGGATCTATCTGGATCCGGTGCTCACCATGGAAACCTAGGTAGGTCAGTGCTCCGCCCCGCCTATTTCCATCTATTTCCCTATCTTGATGTGGG